TCAGGTTATTACAGTCTCAGAGCATATGATGTAAATCTGCTCCTTCTTCATTACATCTGCAGCATCTAGGAGACTGGGTTGGGTAAAGCTGATGGAGTTTTCTAGGATAATAAATATGGTGTAAGATTTAGTTGAATAAATCTGTGTTTGTAAGAATGGTTTGTGAATCTGTGAGGATTTTTCCCCCATCTCTGTATAAATTTTGCCTAAATCTTTGCCCTATTTTTCCACATTAGTTTGTTGTTCAAATCTGCAATGTTTATCAGTAAATACATTTTTGACGCATTTTATTTTTATTTTTTTTTAGGGGAAATCATCTTTCAATTTCTCTTTCTAACTGGTTTTCACATATTTTTGGTCTAAAAGCAATCATTGAAATAAAGAAAAAATAAATATTTTTTTAATAAATGTGTTATTTTTCTTTACAGATATAAAGCTATAAGTCAAAATACAAAGTTTAGGTTTTAAGATCACATTCTGAAATTAATTTATGGACATAGAAGTAGGTTAAAAAAATACACCTGAACAAGCTCTGAAACTCTAAAATCATCTGCAGCATGCTCATTCTGTACTGAGACAGAACGCTGCAGTCATGAGAGGTTTGGTTGAAATGAAACAAATGAGACCCAGGAGAGCACAACTTAGCTGCTCATAAAGGTCAGATATGGAATCACACCAATGGATGCTAATCCTGACCCCCCCAGGACGCTGTGCACATGCGCCTGTGGATGCCATTGTTTCACACGACCTGTGACATTTAAACCTGAACGAGAGTCCAATCCTGTGTAGCACAGCAGTATGTGTGTGTGTCACACACCTTTGAATGGAGCGCCCATGGAGGTTTAATTAGAAATAGCCTTGAGGGCAATTAAAACATCTGATGCTGCTTTCCATGTTGGCATTTTGAATTTAAATATTCCCTTTTTATATCATGCACCTGCAGAACATTTAAACAGTTTAAAATGCTCTGAATACTTTAATTACCCACAGAAGCATTTTTCAACAAATGCATTCATTAACAATAAAAACACTCTTGCTCATGCAGGAAAGTCATATTTGAATGTTCATTATTTGCATCTGGAACATGAGAATTGTAGCTGGCATATAATTATAAGGGGACGCTGTATGTTGGTCATTACGCAGGCCAGTTACCGTTTAATTGGTATTTTCCTAATAATCCACACTGACAAGCTGAAACCCCGTCCATTGGGTTAGAGCTACAGGCCTGTCAGCAGCTCGCTGAGCCACCTGAGAGCAGGAGACGACGCAATTTGTGAGCACGACAATAACGACTGGTGGGTCACACCAACAGCTCAGCCCGTGTAATGAGCAGAAAGAGACAAAAACAAATTAGTGAATGTGTGAGACAGACTGAAAACAAGAATTGGAGGTCCTTATTATAATTATTTACAGCCATTGCAGTATGTGCACACTATATCTGGATTAGAGGTATTTCTCAGTTTGTTTTCAATGAGGATCTATAAATCTACAAACAGCCAACGTTCCAGAGTAAAACGGTATCATCCCAACGTTTGATGATCTGTGGAGGACGGCTCTACATATTCAGAAATAATAAACTTAAATTTTTACTTTCGGCTGCAACCTTCTTCAGGTGTCGTCACAGCCAACTAACTCGCATGAAGACTTTGCAGTTGTTTTATGCCAGATGCCCTTTGACACAACCACAGCTCTCTGTGTGGAGCAGGGAGGAAGGGGCTGATGGTGGGGGTTGGGGGGGCCTTGCTTGGAGATCCGGGGGTGGGGCAGGTGCAGGGTGGACTTGTTTTGATCAGTTGGTCCCTCAACACAATTGATAACATTTCTTCGAAGAGAAAACAGGCTTTAGGCCAGCCAATCTGCCCTGTTGGCACGCACGCAGCTGGATATCTCATCGACTTTGAAGACTTGATGACGAGTCTATCTCTGCTGTCATCTGTGGATTTTAAGGATGCATTTATAACTGGATTTATGATAACTGGTTTCTGTTTTTTTTGGATTCAGCTGGTTCCTGGTCTATCAACAAACAAGGAAGTCGTCGGCAACAAATCTGGACCTGGTCAGGCTGCCTGCTTTATATGATGGCTTGGTTTGTGCCTCGAGTACCCAGACTCTTGGCAGAATGCATCAGATCTCGGGGATTATTCTCAAGCACGTTCCATTGGTATGGTTGTTTAATTTGGATGTTTCGAATCTGAGTGGACTGACACAGACTCAAGGTAGATGTCATTAAAGTTCTGCCTGTCCCCAAAACAATCGTGTTAATCTGAATTTGGCTCCCTGACTGGCCTTGACAGGCCATCTTATCTCAACCCGCCTGGAGGTTTTGTAAACCTGATGCTCCAACCCCCTCCCTTCTCACCTACTGAGGAATTTCCATGGACTTTTAAGAGGAGCCCAGCTGAATAAACATTATGTCATCATTTCAGGACTCTGCATTCGTCTCCGGTCGTCCTCGACACCCCCCCCCCCCCCCCCGAGTGTGCACGGATCTCCCCAGAGAGAACTTTATGAACTGAGTGATTTGATCTGAACTCTACAGTGGCTCTGTGTGTTGTCTCTGGCTGCTTACCACCCTTACGTCCACCCCCGCGTAATGTCGGTATCATTATGTGCCAGTGTGCAAGATTTTTTTTTTCATTATCACACTTTTGACCTTCAAACAGAGGTCAAAAGCGTGTTAGGAATTTTTTTTTGTCTCCAAACCCTGTGTCATTTTCACCACTTTTTATTGTCTGTCTAAGCAGGTCTCACTTGTAAATGAGTCTTCAAGGCTCAACGTGACTTATCTGTTTAAATAAAGGTTGAATGAATGAATATTTTGATTTGTCGGTCTGGGGAGTTGAACCAGCGACTTTCCGATCATGGGCTCAACTTCCCTAGCCTCTGCGCCACCACTCCCCCTATTCAGAAATACTAAAATAAATACGAGTGATTAGTCTTTATTAAACTTTATTCTAAAGAGAAGACAGACGTACGACCTTTTGCAAACTCATTAACAAACCAAACGCATACCGTATTTTTCAGACTATAAGGAGCGATATCAATGAACGGGTCTGTTTTCATACACAAGGCGCACCGGATTATAAGGCGCATTAAGCGAAACAAAACAGTCAGAAAAGTCAAACTTTATTCAACTCACCCACAATAACTCTCAACATTGTTCAGTTGTACCACATAAAATCAGTTTGAGGTCAGTAAGCGCAACCAGAATTAATACATAAGGTGCACTGTCGACTATTGAGAAAATTGAAGGATTTTAAGTGCGTCTTATAGTCCAAAAAATAAGCTAAAAGAAATCTGCTTTGAGTCATTCATTCTGGTCACCAAGTATAATATCTATTTTTTGTTCTTTATTTATTCCTTTACTGTCAAGAGTTGCCGCATGAGTAAATTATGCACGAAATTTCAATTTAAAGGTGTTGCACCATAGAACCTCTTCAGTTACATGAACTCTATCGGTTCTGATGTGGATTTAAAGCCATTATCTTTACCCACTTCTCTTTTTTGAGGGTAGCTGGTGCTCATATCCAGCCATCACTGTACGGGGTACACTCTGGGCGGGTCACCAGTCCATCACAGGGACACAGAGACAACCATTCACTCTCTCACTCACACTTAGGTACTATTTAATCAGCCTAACGTGCATGTTTTTGGTCTGTGGGAGTAAATTGTAGTACCAGCCGAGAGCCCACACATGCACAGGGGGAGCATGCGGGCTCCGCTTGGGGGGCTGGCCGGGATTTGGCCCAGTGCAACCTACTCGCTGAGAGGTGGCAGCTCTGCCAGCTGTTCCACCGTGCAGCCCCAATTAGATACAGAATGGTAAAATTATGTAAAGGGTGTTAAATTCCAAATGTAGATAAATATATATATATATTTCTGTGCATCACACATCGTGGTTATCGACAGACGAAAAGATAAAAAGGAACATTCAGATTCTGAGATCAGATGTTGATCCATGAAACAAGGTACTTGCAGTATATTGAAAGTTTTACTGAACTGGAACTTTAAAGCCACCTTGTGGGATAAATTATAATTACTATTAGGACTTGTTTCCCGGTTTCTCCTTTAAATTGTAATTTGTAGTGAAGAAAAATGTGGCTTTTATTTTTTTAGAAAACACACAAAAAATAAATCACTGCTGTAATATTTGTTTCACTCTTTAGTGGTGGTGAAAGTTAAATTTCTTGAATGCACTTGTCACGTCATGGACAAAAATCTCTTTATAAGACATTATTATAGCGACATTCACAATTTAAGTGATTGTAAAATTTTATTTTACCTTTAGCTTCTACTTGAGTTCCTGAATATTGGCAAGAATAAAGTCGACTTTGGGCACTAAATTCCAAAAAAGCCATCCCTTTAAATTTGGAAAAACAAAAACGTGAAACAGATGCTTATAAACAGATTTATATTGAAATGTTGCTATTTTCAGTTAAAACACAGCTAAAACAAGCAACAAATTAAATAAAATGAATAAAAAAAAATCAGTCAAACACCAAAAGCTTTAATTCATGAATCAGTTCAGGAAACAACAGCTACAAAAACAAAGAAGCTAAATAAGATGAAACCTCTTACAGGAACGTCTGGATTTCTATTTCTACGACCTACACGGCAGATTGCTCCCTTATATCTAATAAGTTGATCAGGTTTTTGTGTAAAAACGTCAAAACTTGAATGAAACTGAAATTAAAGTTCACATTGAACATGAAACGGGCGACAGGCTGGTTCATGTTTCATGATGCAGAAATAAAAAACAAACTGCTGCTTCTGTAAAGGACAGCATGGAGACATTACAAGGAATTACTCTCTATGATTTTTATGTTTATAAAAAATTACATTAGGAACTTTTTGACCAATAATATTAGCCAATTTTGTATGCACATTATGACCATAAAGAAACTCAATGGACTGATCTCTTCAAATATTTACTCTTATTCCACACAGCCTTCCTCTTCTTTAACCTCTTCATCTTCACCTTGATGGCCTCACCTTCACCCTCATTGCCCTCCATCTCCCCCCTCATTAACCTCCTCCTTGACTTGTACATCATCTCCCCCCTCATTCACCTCCTCGACTTTTACATCATCTCCCCCCTCATTAACCTCGTTGTCTTGTGCGTCATCTCCCCCCTCATTCACCTCCTCCTCGACTTGTACATCATCTCCCCCCTCATTAACCTCATTGTCTTGTGTGTCATCTCCCCCCTCATTAACCTCATTGTCTCGTTTATGATCTCCCCCCTCATTCACCTCCTCCTTGACTTGTACATCATCTCCCCCCTCATTAACCTCATTGTCTTGTTTATGATCTCCCCCCTCATTCACCTCCTCCTCGCCTTGTGCATCATCTCCCCCATCACCTTCCTTCTTGTCATGCGACTCCTCTTTGCCCTCACTCTCTTCCATGTCGCCCTCTTCTTTGTCCCCCTCCTCTCCACTGTGCTTTTCCTTCACCTCTGCGTCCGTTTTCGTTGTGGCCGCATCGGTGTCGGGCGAATCTTTTACGATTTCGTAAACGTTGTACTTTTTGAACAGTTTATAGTCTTTTACCACGCTGACGCAACACACATTCTTGATGATCTCCACAACCACTGCGTAGTCAGGGTTCATCAGATTCGCCCTGTTTTTAGGGTTCAGCCTCGCCAAAATACCTAAATGTGTGGGGGAAAAAAAAAAAATCAAAGACAAGTCGGTTTTTCTTCAGTACGTGAGAAATAATCGGAAAATTCACTAGGCCTGTCACGATAACAAATTTTGCTGGGCGATAAATTGTCTCAGAAATTATTGCGATAAGCGATAATATTGTTTGAAATTTGACAATAATTAGTAATTATTGTCAAATTTAAGAAGAAATGTAAATTTTTGAGCCTAGTACCTGTTTTGATCACTGGATGGCAGTACAAGACTGTTTGAACCGAAGGATGGATAGCGAGGGAGCGAGCAGCTTGTCTCTTTAAGGAAAAATGGGAGGGAGGGCCCTTGACTTGACATGGGCTGTCTCTCTACGGTTCTCAAACAGGCGGACGCTCGGTGTGGTTTGAGCTCTTTAGCATAGCATTTGTCACAGAAAGCTTTTAATAAATTTTTTTTTTTTTAAATCAGTAAACAAGTTCTCAGCTTCTTTTTGCAGAGAAAAGCAACTTTTTACACGAAGGCACGAGTTTAAACTGTGAATTTTGGATCTTCGACAAGACGGAGATCCAAAGGTCCGAGTCGGCCTGTTAGCTTAGCGCATAGCTTAGCTTCTCAGCTTAGCTGCTTTTAACGACCTAAAAACGCGATTTTGGACGGTTAAAATGGATGTAAAAAAGAAAGGGAGGGGTCAGTGAAGAGCACCGGAGTTGAGCTTTTTGTCATCCAGTGTCTTCAGTAGAACGTGAGACACGAAGAAACGATAAAGCCGATAAATGACAAGGAGGTCGACAATTTTCAATGTGGTTAATTGATTTATTGTTTATCGCGACAGGCCTACTAATACCGAAAAGGAATCCTGTAAAACCTGCAACGTTTTTGATGATTTCTTCTCTCCTGTGCTGGTTGTTGTTGCGAGCCTTGTAGGCCACCTTAAATGTTCCATGGTTTGGAGCTTGAAACCAAGGAGCCAGGAACATGGTCAGATATTTCATTATATCTTCGTGATAAGGCCTGCATGTCCCGACGACCTGTGGGAGAAAAAAAGATCATTTACTGCAGATGACAACATAAAAACAAGCGTTTTTATTACCAAGTCACAACACCAGAGTCAACATGTTATGCCACTTTAAGGGGTGCAAAATTTATTTCAGATGTCCGACTAACAGACTGATTCAGCACCACTTGACTTACTGCAGTTAACACTCTTTCAAAACTATAAACTTAGAACAAACCACATGTAGTTACATTGTAATAAATTTTATCTTCTTACTGGCAACATGCGAAGGACCAAACGTGACTTTTTCTGCTTGGTGGCATGGAGGTCACTCATAATGTAATGAATCAATTTGTCAGGCTCTAGGAGAGGAAGAAGAAAACACTTATCACATAAATAATAACACATAATACTCATATTGTTGCCACCCTCCCCCAAACACACACAACTGAACCTATATTTCGAGTTCTGATGAAGATGACATTGAAAGCTCCGCTCTCGAGGACCTGGAAGCGCCTCTCCTCATCGGTTCTCTGCGCTCTCAGTTGCGCAACTTCCTTCTTCAAGGCAACATCCACATCTTCCTCCTCGGCCTCGTTTTGTCCGCTGGATCCAAACTGATCTGGAAGCTGTCATGTAACGTTGGTAAGGGGATTAAAAGCACAATGATGCACAACTTTCAAAACACTAACCCTATAATTTAAAATTCTGTATAAAAACTCAACGAAGGCTAAAAGGAATTGTTCTTAAACCTTTACTATAATCTGCTTAAATATTCTGAAAGTGAAACACACACACGCAATAACATCCTGAAATAGATGCAATAAAATATAAACTGAACATAACTTCACAACTAAACACCTGAAATAGATCTGACCAGTGAGAATAAGGACAATATATTTGTATAGCATGCTACTATGAGGCTAAATGGACTAGTATGATGTTTTAAACGTCAACCAGATGACATGATTTAAATATTTTTGTATCCAAAGTAACTTTCAAATGAAACCAGAAGGGTTTTCAGCAGAACAGCGCCCCCTTCAGGGCTCTTACAGTTGTGACTGATTGGTGCAGCTTCTAGTAGTTCCTTTATCCCATTACACTATCCATTTTCACTTCCAGTTTCAGTTCATCATAACGATATGTGTAAATAAGGTTCACCACTAGCAGGACTTACCACCTCGGGTCCATAGAGCTTGTCTGCGTATTCAATGAGCAGATCCATGGCTTCTATGGTGCACGGTCTCATGTTGTTGTTTCCGCAGGTAACCAGGACCCCCTGCATGCCCACCTCCAGGTCCCGGGAGCGCCTGTACCGCTTGTTGGGTTGACCAGACATATAGCGCTTCTTATTCCGTTTTCTGGATACGTTTTGCATGGCGGGCACGTTTACCATGTTCGGCTCGTCGAACGACATGTCGCCAAGGTCTGCTAGCGAAATCAAGAATTTAAGCTAACTACTTCCTTCTCAGTCCCACTCCTTTGCGTATCTTTGTTACGCTTTATAGCTCTGCAAAATCAGCGTAATTCGGCTTTTCTAACCTTATAAAATAAATAAACTGACGCTATTTACCGTCCGCACACACCACCGGGCTAACGCTGTAAACCTGCGAAGAAGGCCGCTACGGCGACTCAAGAGGGGCAAAAAAAACGTTCCCGGAATCAACACGCGAAGCGCAAAATAAGTCATGGTAAGATTTCAAAATTTAAAAACAATTGTTTTAAGACATTTTATTTTTGCACGGAAAAGGATTAGGGCCACGATATTTTTTCATCACAATTTTGAGATTAAAGTCAGATTTCTAATGTTAAAATCATAACTTCGATTTTAATCTCAGAATTATGAACGAAGATAACAAAGTCCATGCTCAATAATCCAGGTATGCAATCTAACATTTTTTTAGTCCAGGATTGTATACCTGGATTATTGAGCATGGACTTTTGTTGTTTTCAACCAGTTTGACACAACTGTCAACAAGGAAGAGGGCCGCAATGGAGGAGGGGGTGTGTCAAAGAGACCATCTTAGCACCAACATAACTGGTTTGTTCCACTTTGGAGTAAGCTGTTGGTGGAAGAATCAGTTTTGTGTTGTGCGTTTCCTTGACTGATGAAGCCTTCCGGATCCATTTCAGCACACACACACACAAAGAAACTGTCCAGATGACCTGAATGAAAAATGTTGGATATGAACGAAGATCTCTGAAAAAAATGAATAAATAAAAATCCACCGTGGCCCTAATCTTCCGTAATTTTGACCATTAAAGCACTTAAAAAATGTATGCACTGCACTTACAAGTTCTTAATGACAAAGATAAATAACTTTTTTAAACTGTTATCATTCTTGATAATGGGTTAATGTGATGTTTAAAAAAGTGACCTGTGCTGGCAAAATTAGTCATACAATTTTTAAGACAGCAGGCTAAAATTGCAGCAGCAGCACTCATAGTGCTACTTCCGGTGTCAGGTGCCACGCTGCATCTGGCTTCACTGGCACCTGCCGCAAATTTACTGGCAGCTGTCTGGGATTTACTGGCACCAGCTACAAATTTACTGGCAGCTGCCAAAGATTTACTGACAGATGACACAGCTTCTCTAGAT